GTAGGAGGGTGGCCAGGCAAGGGTCGGGTAGAGTCGCGGGGGGTGCCATCCATGCATGCGGCGAGATTTTCGTTTCGATGTGTTTCACTTCAATCCAATGATGGGCCGTCTGCATCGGGAGGGCTGACAGCATGCATGGGCATACAGTCGCATGAAACCTTCGGCAGCTTTCTTGTGTTTCAGAGGGTGTGGTCGGGTATAGGGTGGTGGAGGGAAGGGCAGGACAGGGGGCAAGGCGGGGAGGGCTGGGTCCATGCCATCCATGCGGTTCACTGCATTCCGGCACAATACCAGGACGGGTAGCGTGGAACCACGCACATGCCTCCTCGTCTCCCGTCTGCATCGGGAGGGCTTTGTGGCTGCTACTGGTGCTTGATGGCAGTGTTGGTTCCGCCTGGCGCTGTTTATGGTTGCCGGTAGACAGGTGTTTGGTGCTGCTGTTTTGGTGCTTGTTGCGGCTGTGGTTGGTGCTGGAATCTTGGTGCTAGAAGCTTGGTTGCTTGAAGCGCGGCCAGTTGCGGATGCAGGGCTCTATCACAAAAACACTGTACCGTCCCAAAATTCCCAAAAATCCAGCTTTTGTTTGCAAAAATGCTGTATTGTTCCAAAAACAAACCCCCCCCCAAAAAAAAAAAAAAAACTTTTCTAGTCTTGGAGACTAGCTCGTCAGGCCTCCAAGAAGATTGGTTTTTGGGGACAGTACAGCCCTTTTGCAAGAAAACTAACCAAAACGCTGCACGGTCCCAAAAAGCACCATTTTTTCAGAAGTGAAGTACTGTCCAAGAAAACCAAAGAAACCCATGGACCCCTTGCTCCACGAAGTCTCAGGACCTGAAAAGAACGGGCTTTTTGGTTTTTTTGGGACAGTACAAAAGCTCGGCCATTGTGTATGCATGCAGCCAACGAAGGTTTCAAGACGGCCCCAAACGATACACGGTGCTCCAAACTCATGCAGGTTTCGGTGAGGATTCATCCAGGTTTTGCTGCAGGCAGGTCCACACACTTCCAGACCCGTTTCAGTAAAGACCCAACACACGCCAGAGCTCAGAGTTTGCAGTCGAGCCGAGCTGTACATATCCAGCAGCATGATTTCTCCTTCCAGGTTCACTTCGCCTTAAGCGAAGTCCAGGGCCAGCGGAAACGGTTCTGTAAACAGTCATGCTCTGTGTCGTGCACTCAAGACCGAGCTCTCTCTCAGTTTTGTCACGTGTCACGGGGCAGGCCAGAGTAAACTCACGGTGTCGCACTGTGCTCATGCATCAAACCCCCAGGTACTCGTCAGAAGCATAGGCAGAGACACGACATCCATGCCATAGCTCCAAGTTACTGCCAACACTTGTAAAGCCAGATCGCAACAGCCAAGCCCTTGTCACGGCGGAGGCTCTTGCACAGGTTAGTGGGATTGATTAGGATTAGGCAGACTTGAAAAGATAAAACACCGTCTGAAAGTATCAACAAACTTTCACGGGCCATGGGCAGGGCGAAAGGAGCGCGGAGTAGCAGGACAAGCAGAAAAGCGCAAGGTCGGAAAGGAAAACAGTGCAGGGGCAATGGCAAGGACAGGCAGTGAGACACATACAGTTGCATGCATTTTTGGCACTCGCAATCGGCGCTGCAAATGCAGACATACGTATGTACACATGCTAATATCTCTAATTACATACTACTTATACTCTTAGTTATACCAAGTCATACACCCCGAAGATAACAGGACGATCACACGAGACCAGCAGGACTGTCGGCCACCAGGACCACCCCAACGACCACGACGACCAGGACCATCACGACGACCAAGACGACTACGACCACCATGACGACTAGGACCACTTCGAGAAAAAGAGCACCATACCGAATAGTGTAGCCCTGACCACACTGGAATAGTTTCTGCATGCGTGCACAATGTCATGTTCTGGTAGCGGGTTTGTGCAGCTTGTATGTATCTGTTCACCGCACAAGTGCTTTTAACTGAATGTAACAGGTCCCTTTCATGCCAAGATCCTTTGTGCACACACTGGCAAATATAAATTCATCCCAAGTGCAGGTTAAACAGTCCTTCGATTGCACTGCAAGGAGTGCTTGTTTACTGCTGGTCGAGTATGTTACGCAGCCGCAGTGGTACAGTGCGTGACTTGGTGTATGCCATGGAGCATAGAGAGTATTTAGCCATCTTCAACAACCACCACCACCACCACCACCACCACCACCACCATCGCCACAACAACAACAGATTGACATATTTTCAAGACAGCAGCCACGGTTGAGAGCCTGGTCTGGCTTCGCAAGCTTTCAGATGGCAGCTGTACGTCTCAAGGGCTTCTGCCGATTTCAGCCTCAACCCTTGATGACTTGCCTTGCATCCTTGCCGAATTCGGTCAGGCGCTGTCGGCTACAGGATGGTAGCTTGCGCCAGGTCTGGGCTTATCAAAGTAAGGCTTCCATATTGGAAGCGAAAGAGTTATCACCACGGCTACGGACCCAAAGCCTGCAAGACTTACGAGAACTACAATCCACCCGCGACCGTCTTCGTCTCGCATGTATGTCAGCAGTAGCAAGCTGAGCAAGCTGAAGAACACCGCAAGGAAAATGAGCACAAGCAAGATGTAGAAATTCCAGCCTCTTTCAACTGGGGCGACTATGCCGGCATCCAGCTTTGCAAGAAACAGCTGATTGCGCAACTGCCTCCGTCTGTCCGTGCTCCACTCCCCGATGATAGGCAGATCTTCGTCTTGAAAAGCAAAGATTCGTCGCCCTGCACCGTGCCCTGCACGTGTCTCAACTTCTTGAAGCTGCTGCACGAGATCGTTCATCTCGCTGAAATTCACGTGATGATGTTGAAGGCGGTTTTTGAGCTTGTTCAACAACTCGTTGTAGTCCTTCACCTGCTGCACTTCGGAGTTGCTGTATTTCTTGTCTTCCCGGGACGATCTGACGTCCGTGTTGCAGTCCTGGGGCTGCAGAAAGAAACCCAAGCTGTCGGCCGACTTCGGGCCAAACTCCTTGAGAAAATGGTGCAGTTCCATCTCCATTTCAGCTAGAAGCTGTAAGGCTCCATCTTTCTCTGGCTCAAGCATCAGAGGGTCTTCAGAGGAATCCAGGCCATCCAAGCCGGGAGTCCAGGTGACACTGAACTCAATTGATGGGCCCCGATCCCCTGCACCAGGACCCTGCAGCACCACACTTCCTGTATCACAAGTCACCTGCTTCTTCAAAGCACGGGCAGCAGAGGAATACCCGCTATGTTGCTGCAGCAGGTCGACAAGAGAAAGAGTCTGACTGCCGAGGCTGTCATTGTGCGTGAAGGTGTCCTTATCCCAGACGGAGATTTGGAGCTGAGGAAAGCGGTCCAGCGACGCATGGGCCACCCTCATAAAAACCTCCTCCCAACGACCAGTGTTTGGATCCTTCCACTCGGGATTCTTTTCATTGTTCCAAACCACGCTGGTTTGCGCTTGTGCCAGGCTTCCCAGTTCGAACTTCACAAAAGGATCGGATTCATCCAGCACATCTGCGCTGCGCAAGTTGTACGCCCGGATCCGCGTGAAGGTCAACTGACCCGAAACTTCGCCTGGCGACTGTGGAACGTGTCTATCCTCACGCCCTTCCGAAACGCACAAGTCGCAGAGTTCAAAAGATTCCTGGGAGCTCCTGTGCGGTTTGTCCCGATCGACTCTCTTGACCAATAGACGGTCGGCGCGGCTTTTCCAATCCTCTGCCCCCTTTCGTCCCAGCGTGCGCTCTAAGATGTCCGGCCATTGAAGTGCCAGGGCCTCCGCTTGGGGCCAGCGCCTCCTGTCCCTGACTAGCTTCAGGAAGTGCTTTCCGCTTGGAAAGCGGCAGTGGCTGGGATCGAAGCTGGGGTTCAGCAGGAAGTCCAAGCGTCGGTGCAATAGTTCTTGTACCTTTTCCTTGTCTGCCCAAGGGCTGTGACCGGCCAAAGCCCTCAGAACCTCCTGCCCTCGCATGGCACCCTGCTCCAGATCTCGGCTGGCCAGCATCCTTTTCATCATGCCCTCCTGAGTGAGGGAAGTCCGGACATCCTCGAAGGCAGCAGATGCGACCTCCACGGCCTGCTCCTCGCGTCTGCAGTCACCTCGCAAGTCTCCCGCAAAGCCCGTCTTGGACTTCACAGCAGCTTCCCAGGCGGTCAGTGCTGCCTGGAGCTGGTCAAGGGCACGATGCAGCGACATCTCAGGGCCTTCCGGAGGCAGCAAAGGTGCTTGCAATGGCCTTCCTCCTCTGCTCCCTCTGCTCCCTCTGCTGCCTCTGCCCTGTTGGCTTCCGAAAGGAAACCACGTCCCACTTCCAGGAGATATCGCTGCGTCCTCTGCTAGCACCGTCACAGGTGACTCCGAGCCGTTGGGAGATTGTGCTCTCCGTGCATCAACCACACCATTCGGACTGGCAGGTATGGTCTGTGGAGCCTGTCCGGCGAAACCAGAGCTGTCAGGCTGCCGCTTCTGGCTTGACATAGGAGTCTCAGAGGCACCACTCATCAGGTGCCCCACGTTGCCCCACACTCCCCATGATGCCGGAACCTCGCCCTCGTCTTCGATGGAAACGCTTCGGCGGTGACGAGCCGAGTCTGGCTCCACTGTGCCAAACAAAGCCTCTAGCAGCGTCATTGCGTGAAGAGCACCCTAAACCCTAAGCCCTCCCCCGGTATCCGTCAGCTGTGCTGCACTTCTGCCCATGGGTTTTGCATACACTTCTGTAGTTGCAAATGCCCGAAGCCCAGGTTGGTGCAGTCACTGTGGCCACATGTCGCGGGAACGAAGCGATCCAGGCAGTGGAGGAGTTGTGGCACTGTACTTCCTACTAATACCGCCTCCTGATCTTCCTCTTCCTCCTCCTCCTCCTCCACCTCCTCCTCCTCCTCTTCCTCCTCCTCCGGCTCCTACTACTACGACGACGACGCCGCAACTTTCTCTATTGCTAGCTGTTGCCGGTCAGGTCACACCGTCACTGAACCGCTCTTCTGCGACTCTACGACCCTCTGAATCTCACTCACGTTGTGCTACCTGCTTCATGCGTATCTGTAAACAGTGGATGTGCCTGGCTTCACTGCGGCTCAGCACCATGTCGGCAACCAGCTGCTGCAGCAGCTTTGTGCAGCAGAAACCTTCACCTTCACTGTGCATTTCCATAGCCTTTAGCAGCGCACCGATTTTCAGCCGGCTTCGGCAGTTTCGCCTCTTTCGCGATGGAATGCAGGGAGATTCATGACAGCGACCCAGGTGGGCGCGAATGCGAATGATGCGTCCAGTCCTGCGCCACTTGGCATTACTTGCATGTCAGCCTCGCACGAGGCCGAGGCATTCTTCAACGCCCGCCCTTTTGCCAGGAGAGCTTACGGCTGGCACGTGCTGGCACCGAAGCGCTCCCGACTCTGCCAGCTTCATTTCCGCTGCTCGCGCAGCCCCCTGCTGCAGCAGAACTCATGACTGGGCCTTGTTTGCTCATTGTGGCTCGTCTCAAACTCCACGGGCACATGTGACGAAGCCGAGCCGCACAGCATGCCTGCCAGGGAAAGTCACCCAAGGCAAACACTGCCGGGGATCCTATAGGAGTCATGTCCAGCTTCTCAATATCTGCAAGACTAGCCGTCCAAGCCCATGTACCCTTTTTGGACACGTGCTCTCCCTCGTCTCCTTGTGTACACATCGCACTGTGCCTGCTGGTCTAGCTTGCTCCGCCACAGGCACGCGGCTGACCCGCCAAGCCGATTCTTTGTGTACTATTTCTTTGTCTCCGAAGGCTCGTTCGGAGATCAACCACTCCCAGCTCATGTGTCAGCCACGGAAGTTCTCAAAGCCTACCAACCTCTGGTTGCCTGTCTACACACGTATCGTGCGAGACGGGTGAAGCAGGCAAGCCAGCTGCGGCAGCACAGACAGACTTGCGAGTTGTTCGTGAATATCTTCTCTTCACCCGCCTGGAAAAACCGACACGACGATAGCCTTTGGCTGGAGCTGGATCGGTGCAGCTCTGGCAAAAGAATCTGCAGCTATGCTTGGCACATCTGACAGACCCCGATTCCTGAGTGCATCCATGCCCTATGTGAAATGGGGTGCAGACAACACGGCGGGGCCATTGCAAATGCAACAAGTATTCCGCTTTGTCAGCCAATTTGAGATGCACTTGTAGTGGAACCTCGGCTCCGGACACTTCATTGCCCCCGTCTCTCCTACCCTTTCCGACTCTCCTAACGTCCCAGCTCCCTGCGGCCACGGGAACTCGTGCTTGCATGGCAGCCTCAGCAGCAGCAAATACTCACTCTCTCTCTCTCTCTCTCTCTCCTGACTCGGTGTCGCGTCCGCCGCGCATCAAGGAATACCCAAGGCATTTGCACTCTAATGTCCTCCTTGGCATCCATAACCTCCTGGCAAACCACGCATACGACGGCCTGATCAGGACGAATGCCGTGTCTGGCTGACACCTCTTGTCTCTTGCGCTGAATATGGTAGTATGGATCAAGCTCATCCGAAGATGCTTGCATTGGCAAGCAATGCTCAAACAAGATGTGACGATGCACATCCACAGACTCTCGCCTATGTTCACGGAACGGGCGCCTTCTCTGTGACTTCCTGACCCTCGCCAGGCTCCAAAGGGAGTGCTCTAGGAAGCTTCGTCACCACGTTGGGATCTACAGGCGGTGCTCCGCCCCCAACCAGGACCTCAGCTTCAATCCACCTTACCCTATGGCAGGGGTACTGCTCAAAGCTGTGGCGAGTGCCCGGTCCCCGCGCCATCTGGGAAGGTAGAGGTAGCACAGAAACCTTTCGAAACAGCAGTGCAGGATGGAGGTCTCCCAGGCCCTGGGCCGAGCAGCTGATACAGGGCTTCGCATTGCTCAACGTATGGGATGACGCTCGTCAGCTCGCGCAGGTACTGTTGAATCCTCGTGCCAGGTGGAAGCAGTGAACAGGCGCGCACCATTTGCCGAACCATGCCACTCTGCTCGTCCTCCGAGAACGCTCTTGAAGAAAAGCACGGTCATTCCTGCAGCTTCGCGCGGGACGTCAACATGAAGATGCAACGTTCTGGAACAGGCTCGTCATGCAGGCAGCTGTGAATTAGCTGGCTGTCATGCTGCCCAGCAGCTGTCCGAATACAACGGACCGTACTGTAGCCCGGGGTGGTGGCGGTGGCAACCCACGAGCAAGATAAGTCTGACCTGTTCGCCACCGTTTTTCAGCACCGAGGCTTTCAGGCGCAACTGGGCGCTTCCTTCGGGCCACTTGCCCTCGTCACTAGCTGGTGTTCGCGTCAGTACGCAAGACCGGAGATTAGCAAACACTTGGACGAAGGCACCTCAGTTTCGACAGCGGTGCGGCTAATGTAAGCCAAGCGTCTCAAAGATTGGTGCAGTGACCTGACCTGTCGAAACCTTCGCCTGACTTGCCAGACGGCATCACCGTTGCCTCGACAAGAAGGAATGCACCGCCGTCTCTTCACCATGTCATGCACTGAATGGTGAAGTTCCGCGGCAAGTCAAAAAAAGAGCTGAGGCCCACTGCGAATGGTCAAGTTGAACATGACAGGACCACTTCCTGCAAGAACTGCCACGTCAGCAGAAGACTACCGGACGTAAATAAAGCATCTGGCAAAGGCCCCAAGCAGTCCGGAGAAGCCATCGACTTGAATCCGGAAAGGGCAGAGATCTGCCTGACAACCAGAGCCTGCAGGGCGGACTTCCGTGTCCACCGGCCGTATCCCCCTGCAAACCCGCAGCGCGCGCATGGAGAAGACTCCACCGTCGCCTCTGTCACTGAGCTCCGTCGAAGGTGTGAGGTCTGGTCTCAGGCTGTCGATGCACTGGCGGCAACGGTTGCATGCCATGGCGCAGGCACGATAGCTAGCACAGCCTGCTGCACAACAGAACACTAGTGCTGCTTCATGCTAGTCTCCCGACAGTCTCCCGCACGGTATTGGCAGTGGGACGTACTGCGTCTACATGTGGTTGGCTGGCATTGCGCCGGGTGAAAGCGAAAAACGATCTGCGCATCTCCAAGCATGCTGAATCTGATCCAGAGCTGACAGTCGACGGCACGAGCAACCATCATGCATCACAGGCGGCCCCAACCAGCAACATCTCTATGCAAATCTCAATCGCCGACCGCCACGCCTGCAAAGGCCATGTGATGGCACCAAAGATCAGACGGTTCTCCAAGAGACATCTTCATCTACTGGGTAATCGTCGCTGGCTCTCAAGCAGATCGTGATAAAACACTCCGGCTAGCTTGCAGGTCTGAGGCGGCACTTCAATACCACATAGCGTCTCCATCTTCACGGGAAAGGGTTACGGTGCAACTGAGCTCGTAGAGCTCTAGGCGATGTCGAGCAAAGGATGAGTGAAGAGAGTCTGCATAGGCGTTCGAAGCCGCACTTCCAGATCGTGTGCTCTCCGCTGTCGTCGCAGCTCTGATATTGCTCCGCTACAGTCGCAGGCAGCGGACACAAGGAATCAGCATCCTTGCAAGCCAAAGGAAGTCCCATCCAGTTATGCTCCAAATTCTCGCTCGAAGAACATCCTGTGCCGGTGCAAAAAGCAAGGGCTTCACCTTATGCAAAGACTTTCTTTCGTATAGGTACTCCTCGCACCACTCTCACGCACTCTGGTTCAATATTTCTGTGCTTTTTCCCAAGTATGGACCAAGGACGACTTCATGGCGCGGCTAAGGCACGGTGAATTGGCGATATTGACGGTTGCGCCATTCATTGCTATTTCCTCGAAAACCCGAAGCTCTGTGGTTGGTCGATGAAAGTCTGTGGAGTCGAGTCAGAGACGGGACAGATTTCTCAAAGTGATGGGAACAATTCCAGGGATCAGTCCAAGAAAGAGAACGCCTGCCTTTGGACATCGTTAATAAGACCGAGTTCTTAGTGTCCCAGATCTCGACCAAGCTCATTGACAGCAAACCATATTTTCTGTACAGATGGCTGTGACGGATGTGTAGCATGACGGGTTGTCGGCTGTTGTTGCTTGTCCTAAGGTCCTAAAGTACGCCCGCGACATGTGAAGAAATCCCACGAAAAACCTATGCGAATAGAAAGCTCAACTACATTCAAAAAGCAAGCATGCACAAGCTTGGCCAAACTGTGCGCCGAGGAACACGGTAGATTTTCCATCGGGGCTCGTGCTTCCCTGCCCTGCTCGTGGCACAATTCACCGTCCATGTCTCAAAGGTAATCCCAGATGATCCCAGCATAATCTCTGCGATTGCTGCGGCCCTTGGCATGTGATAGCTCGAAGTCACCAGGAAAACATGCGTCACACCAGCAGCTTGAAGTTCCGGTATCATCGTTGAGAAATTGGTGACGGTGTCAACGGCACGATAAGACAGCACCAACTGCCCAGCTTCCTGCAGTTTTGCTAGACGCTCCTCCGCCCCAGCTGCCGGCGAGCTCGCAAACACCATGAGCGGGGTCTCTGTAGCCTCCCGGTAAGCCAGTGTCACAGCAAATCTGTCGCGCTCTTCTTCTCCTCCAAGCAACAGAATGGCGGACATGGCACCCACGACAAGCTTCTGCTTCCAAACGGACCAGAGCATGAGCGTGGGCCCACCTTACCAGAAGCTTCACCAGTCTGGGCCTTGGTTGTGGGTTCTAACCTATGCAAGCAAGGTAGAGTCAGTGCGAACTACGGTGTCCCTAGGACTCTCACTACTTCTCCTTGAGCAAGCGTATCTTGCCGTCTGGGCCTCACCTGTTCTGACCCACTTCAATGCTGGTAGCATGCCATCTGTCAAGCCGTCACAGCTCCCTAAATATGTCAGGAAGCCTTTTTGCTTCCTCATTGCTGTCTGCATTGTCCAATCAAGTCCCAGGCTTTGCCTGACATGTCGTGGAGTCGCAAAAAACTGGACAAACCGTGAGACAGGCAACCAGTTTTGAAGCTTCCTTGCCAGAGATCCCTGCGACTCCTGTGCACGCAGTCCGCGCAAATTCACGTTCCGTGCAACTGCCTGAACTGTCCGGCAAGGGCCAGCTGTCGCTTGCTTTAGCACTTTAGCGGCTTTAGCGCGTCCATCTCTGTTTACTTTGGACTCCCCGGCTGCTCTGGTTCCATTCCGAGCCCTTTCAAGTTCGGGCAGCTGCAGTTCTCGGCACCTGCTGCGTGTCTTTCAGCCGGTGTGAGCTAAACTGCACGGGCAGAGGTCGTTTTGTGGTCCCCTGAGCCTTGGAGCCTTTGGATCTTTCTGGGCTTTTTTCCTCAGAGGCTTCCACTGCCCCGCGCACCTCTCGATGTCCTGGTGAAACATGGCGTCTCTTCGAAGAAGCGGTGGCCCGGGCGAGGGTAAGCACTGCTCTCATTTTCTGAGCTAGACTACCGGTATCATACCCGAGATGACGGTGAAACTATGAGCATCTCTCACTGCAGCAACGAGCCGATGTCAAGGAAAGGTGCCTCAGCCACCAGGATGCCTGCAACTAGTCCAGTTGTCTCTCGAATTTTGCCAAGATGCAAGATCGGAGAAGAGCTCCAAGAAGACCCGCTCCGTCACAGTAGTGTTTGCTACACTCTCCTGGATGCCCGGGAACATTTCGGCATAACTTAACCTTTCTTATGCTTGCTGTGGCGAGCTCTGTCTTCATCGTGGCACCCGCCTCATCCTCGGCACCGAAGGCCAGAACGACGGTCTGCTTCACTTCACCGTCATCCAACCTAGCAGGACCGAAGTGAGCCGTTGAAGCTCCGCTGTTCTGGCACAATACCGAACACGAGATGTGCTGGAAGCATTGGCCTCTGCAGCCAATCGCCAAGGCGAACGATGCCGTTGCTGTTGGGACCCTGTCGCTCACTGCTCTGCCATTAACTCAACCCTCTTCTTCAGGTCAACAGGAAACCTGTCTTCAAATGCCCACTGCTACCGGCTGCTATGTATAGTCCCAGGACAGGCCTGCAGCAGTTTAAAAGCTGTCAGCACTCGTCGCTTGTCCTGTCGAAAACTCTGCTCAGTCTCATCAGCCCGTTGGCAGGAGCGGTTTTGAGGCCTAACCGGTGCAATCATGGATCGCCTACTCGGAGGCATTGTAACCCAAAATCCCTCTTTGGGAATGGCGATGCTGTACAAGACTAGAAGTAGAGGCCTGGCAAGGTGTCTGGCACTACCTCAGTCCTACTTTTCGCTGGCATTGAAAATGACGCATCGTTCCTTCGGTGGTCCCGAACTGAGGTCCTAGCCGCCTCACTGCTCAAATAGTTTTCGAAATCGGACACAAGCCCAACACTCAAAGGTGCAGGACCGGCGAAATTACACGGAGTGTGCTCCCCTACGCCTCTGGATATTCAGGGTCAACCAGAATACGCTGGTGGCCAAAACCCATTCAGGGCATTATCTTGCCATGTACGGAACCGATTCAAGCTGCTCAGCGAGCGATATTCGAACCCAAATCAAAGCCTGACAGCTTCATAGCTTTCTGTCTGCTTATATATGTGTACAAGATTTTGTTGCTATCCTCTCTGATGCTGGCACCCTGTGTCCACACACATAAGCACATACATACATACATACATACATACATACATACATACACATTCATACATACATACATACATACATACATACACACATACATTTTAGCACTCGCACTCGACGCGTCAGGCGAGGTGTAGGGGAACCAGCAATACAGCAATGCTAACACTGAGGTCCTTACGACAACAGCGTCAAGCGAAACACTCACTTCAGCCAGCACATTTCACTAGCCACAGTGCCATCATCTTCGAGCAACTTCGGAACGAACCTCCCAGTCATCACTCCACACACGCAACCATCCCTCCAGTGCCTCTGACACCGCTCGTAGCAAGAACCTTGTTACCTTCATACATACATACATACATACATACATTTTTAGCACTCGCTCTCGACGCATCAGGCGAGGTTTGGGGCAACTTGTGGCAACAGTTGGACTACCCAGATCCTTTCGATCGGCAGCTTGACAACAAGCGCCAGCCATTTTCCAGCTGGCACAACATCAGTACACACAAATTCAGCTTGACATACATACATACATACATACATGCATACATACATACATTACATTTCATTACATTACACTACATTACATTACATGACATTACGTGACATTACATTCCTTTGCATTACATTACCTTACATTAATTACATTACATTACATTACATTACATACCATTACATACCATTACAT